GATACTTGGAAAATGAAAACAGCAATTCTGGCACAGAAATAACTAGTCTGGGCACCTCTGGCTTGAGCCAGATCTGTGACTTTCTAGGGAGCTGGCACCAAAGACAGAATGTTAAAATAAACAACTCCGATGTTGGAAGTGGAATCCTAGTATTTTGACTCTGGAGAGACTAGTGCAAATCAATCTTAGCTCTTCACAAAGTTTCAACAAAGTTAGTAACCTCATCACAACTATATCAAAGTGAAGTTAGTCATCTTTCAACAGTCATTTCTAGATTATCTAGGGATGGAACTATCCTCCTCAGATGTAACTAATGTAAATCTTGCTTTCAATTTCTTCTTGACCTAATTCTCTTTTCTATTTACCAATGAATCTTGTTTTCAGCCTTCTAATGAGCACAAAGCATCATCTCATCCAATTCACTGAACTCTTCCTCAGAAGTGAAAATAATACCATTAGCCCACTTTGAGTTGTTCTCATGGAAACGAGTTTGCACTAAACCAAACGGCACACAGATGTGTCCTAGCTGGTCAATATTTGGCATGGTGTCATGGGGCAGAATGTTTTCTCTGTGGAATATCTGAAGTTAAGAATCCTGACCTTGGCCTTCTAAGTAGCACACTCCGCACCCAAGCGCAAACGTGTTCTTAAGCTTGTAGGAATATTGCTTCATATCCTCCAGCAAATTTAAGTGAATCTCTGAAGAGAGCACTGCATTCAAGCAAACTCTGTTCCATTACCAACATGACAAAGAGCAGTTACACAAACACAGTGAACACTCGAGGCAGCCCAAATACGAGCCAGTGTTAGTCACAGTCTTCACTCGACGTCTCATAACTGTTTAAAAAGCTTAACTCATGGAAAAGTATGTTTTAAAATGCCAATTTCATGAAATCAGCCCCTAGTCCACCAGAGTTAAACCCAACTCTCTCCAAGTGACACCTGAAGCAATAGCAAACTATTTTTTCTACCCTTAAAGCATATCATCCCAATGACATCTACCTACACAAAACAAATGGCATATGCATTCATGAACTGTTCCAAAGGGGAAAAAGCAAGAAAGGCAGACTATGTCTTACTCACCTTTGGTACTACTGCATCTGATGATGATAATGATGATGATAATATTTACCATATGCCTACTACGTGCCAGGCACTGTTCTAAGAGCTTCCCATACATTATCTTATCTAATCTTCATAACAGCCAATCTTGTGAGGTAAGTAGTATTGTCATCTCATTTTACAGATGAGGAAATCCAAGTGCAGAGTGGTTAAATAATTGACCCAAGATCACCCAGCTGTTAAGCAGCAGAGGATCCAAACCCAGGCAGCCTTATCCAAAGCTCAAGCTCTTACCACAAACCAACAGATCACAGGCAAGTGATATATATTTGTTGAAATACACTTTAAAAGTATTTGACCAATGGCTTTTATAGTCATACATACTTAAAAAAATGCATACAAAATATGTTTACTCTTCATACTCAAAATACATGCATCTAACCAGTGAAAGTATAATTAGGCACAGGTAACAGACTATATGCAATTGAGAGCAGAAAATCTTTTTTTTTTTTTTTAATCTCTTTAATACCTTATAGTGTCCTACCAAAAGAACAGAGCCAAAGAATCTCAGACTAAGGGCTCCTCCAAAAACAGGAAATCAAAGAGGTGGGACAAAGACAGGCAGGGTGAGCTGCTAACCAAATTATGTCACAGATGAATATGCTCTCCTGCTAACCGCTCTGCAGGGCGCTCAAAGCACTGCAGTGTTGCCAATATTAAGTCTGAGCTCATGAATGCCGTACTGCAAAAGTCACCAACAACCAAACAGGAAAACATTTCCTCTTCTCCGCTGATTCTATTCACCCCAGGGTCCTACTCTAGGAGGTTTGAGAATGAACAGAATTTGGGGAAGGGCCAGCTTCACCACTTATTGCTGGACAGAGTGCAGTAGCTTAGGCAATAAATGAAGTTTCCTTTAGCAGCCTCTTAGTCCTTGGAAGGGGGAGTGTGTGTTAAGCAAAGGTGATCATAAATATTTCTCTGATGTTCAGAAAAACACCTATTACCTAATCTCCTTCAGCTAACACAGATATCATCTGATTTACTTGAGTTATCTATGGTTACAAGAAAGACCCAGACCATACAGGGGTCGACAGGGAGAAAAGGGAAAAGATAAAATCACATACCTCTAAAAGAGGAAACAAAAAAATGATACATTCTAGAAAGAGATGGAAAATAAATAGCTCTCCAGTTCCTAGTGACCTGACTGCAGAAGTAAGATAGACGCTGCAGTGCATGGGGAGAAACATCTCTCTACCTGAGTACCGAAACAGCAGCTCCTGCAACTGCTAGGTCCTAGGCACCCTCCTCGCCATTATATAACCAAACCATGGCCCTCACAGGCCATCCTACTGTATGTCAACAGCTGTTAGGCACATCTAAGCTGTCAGCATTCGCGAATCCCTTCCAAAGCGGATTCAGATAAGCATGGAGCAGGCCAAAATATGCTCATCGTTCACCCAGAGCACATGACAACTCCTTGTGAATTAAGCTTCACTCATGTCAGAGTAATTTAAGCAGCAAAAGATAGGGCGCTTGTAACTGTAACTAGGAAATTGCACACTGCTACAGAAACACAAATGAGTGCTGGTGTGGTCCTGTCACACATGCAACTCATTGTCCAAGCCATTGCAGTCTCATTCAAGATTCTGAATATTTCCATACATAGGAATTGCATAACTGCACATAACCACAAATGATCAAAGATAAAAATCAACATAAACAGTGACACCCATCTATAAACAAGCCAATGTTAAAAATGCTGCAGTCCTAAAGGGTACCACACGGCCTTAGAGAAAAACTAAACACACACACACTGGAAAATTAGAAAGCAGACAGACCAGCCATAATTAGCCACTGGCTTTGCTGACTACTGAAGATAGAAATGTCTCTTTTATATATAAAGCCAAGAATCAACTGTTTGTAATTACATTTACAGAAACACTCAACCCTGTCTGTCACAGATTTTTTAATCAATATTTTGGTGTATCCAAGGGCTAGAGGATACAAAATTCTTTAAATCATAGATACCATAAACCAGGCAACCAATGAAGTTCATGGAGTCCACCATCCAGAGGTCAGAGCAAAACAATCCCAGGAGTGCAATGTGATTACTTAGAAGACAGGGAGGTAAAAAAGGAAATACCAAAACAAGGATTAAAGCTCTAACAACTAGAGTTGTTTGTAAACATAACTTTGGCTAGGCTAACAGTAAACAATGAGAAACACTCAGGGGGGAGGACACGTCCCAGAGTCTCAGCTCAGTCTACTACCCCCAGGGTCCCAGGATAACATCAGGGAACCCTGGACTTTGGTATCTCATTCAGCTCAGACCTGCAGACCTGAGGCCCAATGATGGAAACTGACAGAAAGGCTGAAGGGGGCCCCCCAGAGGAAGTGAAACTGACCAATCAATTTTCCACAGCCACCCACCCTGCCACCCTGTAAGAAGGGCCCCTTGTAGTCTTTCACAGAAAGGAGGGAAAAGGGAACTTCAGGTTGTAGGTGAGCAGGAGAGAAGGCCTAAATAAGTCACTGGTGTCTGAAAACAAGTAATTGCCATAAAAGCAAAAACAAGGTAGGTGATGATAACCAGAGGCTAGGCTGAGGAGGTGAGGGGAACTGATGCGGCTTTGGTAGGAAGCAACAGCTACAAGCCTTCTTCATTAAGCTGAAGGAAACCCAAACTGCAGTTTTAAATATAATGAATGACTACATTGAAAGTATTCATTCAAGTGAGAGATGGAGCAAAGAAAGAAATTTGGAGTACAAATGGGCTTTGTGGGTCTTATCAAAACCAAATGATTCCTCCTGATGCCTTAGATTCCAAAACTCCCAATGAAGAAGGCTCCTGGGAAGTGCTACCCACATTTCCTGAGAAAGTGAATTTTTGATGTATATATTTATGGCTTCCTAATTGACCTTGGCCAATTTCACTACTACAGCTCCACAAATCCCTTGGGAGCCAAAGGGCCCAATGCGTGTATCTTCCCGTAGCGTCTGGGTTCCTCACGAACCTCCTCAGTCACCAGGCTTTCCCCTCACCACTGAGAGCCCACCCTGGGTTCTATAAAGCCCACAATTTCAGACCCTCCAAGAACCAAAAATAACCAGCAATCCTGCTCTCCCAAACTCTTTAACCCCTCACTAGCCAGCGCCACCATAAACCTGGGGCCTCCTGGGGCCTCTGTTCCCTGAGCCCCTTCCTGCAGAAAAGCAAAATAATTCCCCCCCCCTCATTTCCCCATCGCCTCTCCTCCCATAATCTCGTCAGTCCTCGGGCTCCCATTCCCACCACCTATTAGTCTTAGACGATCGTGCCGATAGGTATCTGTCATAAGCTACCAGGTCCCTCATATCTCCCAGTCCCTGCGCCCACCACACACCCCAGGTACATGCCCCAGCCGCCCTTGCTCCCCTCCTAACTGCCCCCGACCCCCGCGCTGCCGGTTTACCCTTGTCTTCCCCCATCCTCCTGGTCCACGTTTCCGATGCCCCTGCCCTCATTCCCTCAGGATTTCCTAATTGCTGGTTCCAGAGTCTTCTTAGCTTACAAGAAGGCTCCTGGCTCCGTGAGAGTTCCAAACCTCTTCTTTCCAACCACCCCTTCTACGCCCCTCCGCACGGCCCCGGGAACCCCCTCCGCATCCCAGGCACCGCAGGTCCCGGGGGTCAGCAGCCCCCCTGCGCCCCTCTGCCGTGGAGTTCCCCTCGCTCGGTCCCCTGGGGCTCCCTTCCTCGTCTCGCCCTCTCCTCCCGGCCCCCGCAGCCCCCGACCCGCTCCCCGGGTCCCCGACGCTCTCGCCCGCCCGGAGCCCCGCTGACCGCGCCAACTCCTCAGCCCCGGGGTCGCGGGCTCTCCTGCCCTCGCCGGGGCACTCGGCGGGCCGTCCCGCGCTGCGCAGCCCCGCGGCCGCCCGGCGCCACCGCGCCCCTACCTTGGCCTTGGTGACGAGGTGCGTGGCCCGCTTGACCACGGCGAAGTTGCCCTTGCCGATGGTGCGGTCGATCTCGTAGTAGCCGATGCGGGCAGGCACCGGCCCGCGGGAGGCCGGCGCTGGGGGACGCGGCGGGCCAGCCGCCGGGGGCCCGGCAGCGGGGGCGGCCGGGGGCCCCGGGGCGGGCGGAGGCAGCAGGCGGCCCGCCGGCCCGGCTCCCCCCGCCCCGGCCCCGGCAGCCCCGCCAGCTCCGCTCGCCGCCGCCGCCGCCATCTTGTTGTGCAGTGAAACCTCCGGGGCCGCGGGGAGCCGGCGGGGGGGAGGGGGCGGGGGGGCGGGAAGGCGGGGGGGAGCCGGCGGACGTCACTCCGGGAGGCGGGGCGCGCGCGCCGCCGGGGCCCGGCGCCATGGCAACCGCGCGTCACGTGCCGACGCGCGTCACTGCCCGGAGCCATGGCAACCGTGACCTCACCGGCGAGCTCCACCTGCCCGCGTGGGCCCCGTTCCTCGGGCGCCGGCTCCCGGGTGCCCCCCTCTGGGGATGAGACAGTGGGCGCCGCCGGGTGCCAGCCGGCCCCAAGCCGCTGCGGCGGTCCCGAGTCGGGGGAAGGGGGCTCGATGTTTGACCCAAAGCCAGCCCCCAGTCGCCCCTAGAATCGCTAAGGTGACCCCTACTGTGACCTCTGTCCCAGTTCAGCAATCACCCAGCCTCCCTTAAAACCAAATATTTTCTCATCACCAAAAATACCGGCCTTGTCCCACTTTAGCCCTTGAGACCACAAAGGCAGGAATAGCTACAGTGTTGAAGAAACTAACCAAGTTGGTAGAGAGGCAGGGGAATTCTTCAGTAAAATTCCTTCTTATAAAACCAAAGTCACCCGGCACGACCAATCTAATATAGTGTCACCGAGTACAGGGGAATGGAGAAACTAGGATTTGCGTGTTCAAGGACGGAGAAACCGCCCCAAGCACGCATTCCACTCATTGGGTGGGTAAGGGTCAGGGAAGGGACGTCATTTTCCTTCCTCCCACCCCGTCTCTGAACAATTCTATAGCTAAATGACTGTCAAAGTGTCCGCGTCCTATTTCTGTCACTTGTATAACCCTGATGAAGAAGTGGTGCACACTGTCCGGTAAGCCACGTCATGTTAAAGACCAACCGTCTGTTAGGCAAAAGAAAGAAGTAAACAATAAAATAAAAATTCCACCTTTACTCGTGACTCTCCAAGGACATTAAAGGTGACCAAATTCATAACTTCAACAATAGATCACTTATCCTTTTTTCTTCCCTCCTCTGTTATCTGATATTCCACACCCTCCTGAGCCCCTCACCAGCTCCCAGGTCTCTCCCTCCTCTTTTTTCCCCCCTCCCTTTATTAAGGAGATTGACTTAACTTTCCTTAAGTGGGGATGGGAAGGGGTAGGCAATTGGGCCTTTAATAACAAGATGGTCTTTGGCAGGCCGGAGGGAGGAGGGGAGAATGAGAACGCTCCAATGGTAACATGTGCTCCCTCAGTCCCGTCCTAACCCATCCGCATCTATGTCTCTCACCCGCAGAACTGTGTTGTCGGCTCACTGCACGGACAGTATTAAAAACTGACTCCCAGGGCACTGTAAATGTGACAAGGAGAACGCATGTTTACTCTCTCTGACCAAAGGATATTTACTAGTGCTCTGACTCTCCATCTGACTGTGAGTAATGGCTGGGACAAGGATGGGACAGAGGGGTCATTCTCCAAATGTCTTGGATCAATTCCCTAGTGGCTGTTCCAAATTGCCAACACAATTAACACTATTGGCTCCTTTACCAGCAAATAAGGATAAGGATGAAGGGAACCTAGGCTTCTTGCTCTGGTTAAGCCCTTTCATTGGTTGAATGCATTCAATCCCAGATAAAAGGCCAGCCTCTCTTACCACTTCATGACCCTGTTCACCTGCCTCGAGCAGGGACTACACGTTAACTTTGGTGCCGGGCCCCCGGGGGCCCAGTTTTACCATCTCCCAGCGGGAAGGGGGCAAGGATGAGGGGTCTCAACAGAAACCTTAGATGGCTGGTAAGGCAAGGAAAAAAATCTTTTATTCTGAAGACTAGAGGAGCAGCACTGAAACCATTCTCACTAGTGACTTTACAGCGTCTCCTCCACCCCGGGAGATCATTTGAACATCCAGTACAGCAGCTTCTGCCGCTCTCTGGAGGATGTCACGAACAAAGAGGCCTCTGGGGAGAAACCAGAAAATGGAACGTTGGTCTAATTTCCAAAGAGAAAAGGTAGCTCACTCTTGCCTCTCAGAATGACCAGAATGCGTACGCTGTGTTTCTTATGTCATTCAGGTTCCCTGCCTGTGTGGATTAAGGCCAGTGAATGGTGTGTCTCATCGACACTTGGACAAAGATTTGCTGGAGATCTCTCTGAAGATCTCTTTGGTGAGATCTTCTTTGGTGTGATCTGATTCTCTTTGGTGAGAAGAATATAGAAAATTGGAGAGGAGATTGATCAAAGAAGGTCTTTAGGGAAAAAGGAAAATAGTTTAGATGTAAGTATTTAATAAGGATTTATTGAGTGCCAAGGACTGAGTTAGGTTTTAGAAGGAACCCACAGTCCATCATAACAACAGTTTGCCAGTTGCTATGCTAAGCAGTTGACATAAGTGGACTTATTTAACCTCAACAGCCCTGTGAGATGAATTATATTATCGTCCCCATTTTGCAGGTAAGGAAAATGAGGCACAGAGGGATGAAGAGAATTGGCTATGGTCATAGAGCTAGAAAGTGGCAGAACTGGGATTCACACCCGGGCAGCCTACCTCTGGGGCCTGAGATCTCCCCCAACTGGATTACAAGCTCTGTCAAGGTAGGAGCCCGTCAGAAAAGGGGTTTCTCCAGAAGCCCAAGGTCGCCCACATTTGTTTAAACCCATGGAAGAAGAGGACTTGAAGAGTTCTAGAGAGCTAGACAGAGCAGGCACCGATGTGTGTGAATAAAGAACAACAGAGGAAGAAACTGGAGTTTTGCTGCCCTTAGACAACAGGCGGGTGGGTGTGTTCCTGTCCTGCTGCAGACGCAGAGGAGTGGCTTGGGGGCTGAATTCTTCAGGCCCATGCGGTCAGGTGGAGGCAGAGAGCTAGCTGCCACCACCCAGCTCCCAGTCAGCCTCCATAACCAACTCACCCTTTTCTGGAAAAGCAAAAGATAGATTCAAAGATGAAAATGAGACATTTTCCTACATAATGTCACTGTGTGTTGTTTCTCGAATTTGAAAAGGGCAAACCAAGGCGTTCTTGATGGATATGATAGGCCCTTAGAAACTTCTAGAAGAGATACAACACCTCTGAGACGTAAGGTCTGACCTGAGAGTGATATAAGCAGTGGGAGGTAGTACCATACCTCACGATTTTAAAGTCCGGCTTAGCCTGTCTGCAGACAGTTTACCAGCAAGTCCAACCCCTCACTCTGCATTGGCCCAACTCGTGACTGCTCTGAAAGATGCTAACATTCTAGGAGCATTCAGTTGATACAGAAGCATTATGGAGACATTCTGTATGCCAAAAGGCAACATTATAGAGCGCTTACAGGCCACATATTCCCAAATAAGAAAATTATTAGCCAGTTATAAATTCTGCCATCACCTAGAAATCAGGGCCGTGTTGAATACACATTGTCAGAACACTCAGCGTGTCCTGGTTCTCCTTTGTTAGGGCTGCCTTCTGCATTCCCCCCTCGGCTGTGTGCCTGTCTTTTCTCCTCCTATCCCAGGTCGACCTACTCGTGTCTCGGTGCTTCCCGTGGGTCTCCAGAAACAGGTCTGAGCAGCCGAAGTAAGTCCACAGTCCCCTGCTATAAAACATCTTGGGGAACAGGGCTTGAGAGAAGCTAAATGAGCCTTCCGCTGAGGGCTTTCTGTTCAGCTTGCCCACATTTTTCTTTTTGATGGAACCATTCAAGCTACTACATAAAACATCAAAGTTGCCCTTACAACTTTGCGTATGTTCTGGGATACAGTTTAAGCATTTTTAGATTATTATTAAATAACTACCCTTTAAGTCATCCAAAACATATTTGAGCATGATTTTTTTAAAGGTTTTCTGCATTCTCAGATGTGACTATATTATCATTTGGGATCAATATTCTCAGGCAAATACACTTTTGGTTTTATCAGGACAATCAATGGGAAAATACATGTAGTAGAGAAAAAAAATTCATCGAGGACAACTTTTTTCTCAAAAGTGTATGCTCCTTAAGGTGAGTTACCCTGTGATCAACTCCCTAATATTTACACTAATAAAATTTTTTTCTTGTAATTTGCTGCTTTCTCCTAAATGAAAAATGTGGGACTCAACAAATATTAAGATGTTTGGCGTATTTGGATCCTTTTCTTCCCCGAATCAAAAAGGTTCACAACATTTCACAGAAAATAAAAACTTCAGAGGTCCACCTGAGATGGAAGTTCTTTATTTCCCCCGTCCTAAACCTATAGAACTGCATCTTTCCTCTTTTCCCGTCGTGTTCACATCTCTCCTGACTAAAGAGCTGTCTTGTCTGTCACACCTGCCTTGGGAATTGCTCTCAGTTTTTAGTGCTCACCTTCAAACAGCCTTTCATGTCTGGGAAGATAGTACAGACTCTCCTTTTACAGCGGCTTCCTCGCATTAAGATTGGGGTTTGCTTAGGTTTTCTACCGCCTTTCCAGCTGTTGGTTAAGAAACATTTGTACTGTTGGGATTGATTTCTGTAGGGAACTGACCTACCTTTGTTTGCTTCATTTCCGCCACTGTTTTCCTCAAACTAGAAAATCCATCTTCCACCTCCAAGGCCAAAAGGAACCCTCTCCCTTGTCTGTGGAGACACCTGCTGGTCAAAGTTCAGAACTACATGACGCCCAGCTGTCCTGCCTTTTCCAGTTCTCCAAGGCCTTCTAGTCTTTTCTATTTAAACTGCAAGCAGTTGAAAACCACAAATCCACATCAGGAGCCAGAAAGCTGGAATCCAAGTGGAAGCCGGCTCCAGGAAGCTTGGTTTCTTTTCGGCCAAACAGAAAGTACAGTGGGATAAAGTTACAGTGGTGCTTTGAGCTTAGGTAACAGTCCATAACAGTGGTTCTGTGCCACCCAAGGATGTCTCCAATTATCCCGAGAGTTCTCGTGGCATTTTAAAAAGAATTCTTCAGGAGGAAATTAACTTCCATTTGTTTTTATTTTTTAAATAATTTCATTTGTTTGGCACGTTTAAAGTGCAGCCTGGCATGATGAGTAAAAAGAGCAGGGTTTTACAGTTAGACTAGGCTTTTTAGGGGCTTTTTCCCCC